GGTGAGTGGGTTGCGGGGCCAGGGGGAAGGGAGGGCGGGAGGGAGGGCGGCCGCCTTCCCCCGGCCTCCCCCCTCTCGTTTGGGCACTGCCACTCTCTCCTTCTCCCCTCCTCCTCTCCCCAGCGAGGCTGAACAACTGGCCCCCGCTGCCGTCCTTCTGCCCGGTGAAGCCGTGCTTCTACCAAGACATCCCCGTGGAGATCCCCGCTGACTTCCAGAAGACCGTTTCCACCATGTATTACCTCTGGATGGGTGAGTCCCTGGGGGAAACCTAAGGGCAGAGCCTGGGAGGAGGCAGAGGAATAAGTGTTCTGCGTTCAAGTGAATCATAGAACGGTTTGGGTTGGAGTGGACTTTAAAGATCGTCCAGTGCCACCAGAGACACCTCCCACCAGCCCAGGTTGCTCCAAGCCCCGTCCAACCTGGCCTTGAACACCTCCAGGGATGGGGCAGCCACAGCTTCTCGGGGCAACCTGCCCCAGGGGCTCACCACCCGCACAGCCAACAATTTCTTCCCCAGATCTCACCTCAATCTCCCCTCTGTCAGTGTCAAACCGTTCCCCCTCGTCCCACGGCTCCCCTCCCTGATCCAGAGTCCCCCCCCAGCTCTCCTGGAGCCCCTTTAGGCACTGGAAGGGGCTCTGAGCTCTCCCCTTTTTCGCCTTCTCTCCAGGCTGAACACCCCGAGCTATCTCAGCCTGTCCTCGTAGGGGTGAATGCTGCTGCTCTGGAGAGATCCCAGTTAGCGCTTGGTGCCTGGGTCGGGAGGGCTGAGCCCTCGGGGGAGAGGGGGAGTCTTACTTGTGTTGCCCACCGATGTGCTGGAGCGTGTCCAGAGAAGGGCAACTGGTGAGGGGTCTGGAGCACAAGTGTTACGAGGAGCGGCTGAGGGACCTGGAGGTGTTCAGCCTGGAGGAAAGGAGACTGAGGGGAGACCTTCTCGCTCTCTGCAACTGCCTGAAAGGAGGGGGTAGCGAGAGGGGGGGCAGTCTCTTCTCCCAAGTAACGAGCAATAGGAGAAGAGGAAACAGCTTTAAATTGCACCAGGGGAGGTTTGGGATGGATATTAGGAGAAATATTTTCACCGAAAGGGTTGTCCAGCACTGGCACAGACTGCCCAGGGACGTGGTGGAGTCGCCATCCCTGGAGGTGTTTCCAAGATGGGCAGACGTGGTGCTGAGGGACGTGGGTTAGTGGTGGACTTGGCAGTGCTGGGTTAATGATTGGACTCGATGATCCCTAAGGTCTTTTCCAACTGTAACGATGCCGTGATTCTCTGTCCTCTCTCTCAGCCAGCACCATTGCTCTCTTCCTGAACTTCTTGTCCTCTCTGGCCTGGTTCTGCGTGGAGCCCTCGTCCGGTTCTGGGTTCGGCCTCTCCATTCTCTGGGCTCTCCTCTACACGCCCTGCTCCTTTGTCTGCTGGTACAGGCCGATGTACAAAGCTTTCAGGTGTGTATCTCTTCGAGCTCCCAGGCCAGTAAAGGAGCGGGGTTGGATGGCTGCTTGAAACTGGGGAGACTGGGCTGCTTGGTAGATCTGCCCTCAGCACCAAAAGTGTCCCAGCTCCTCGTGGCCTTTGGCTCTGGAGGATGCGGTGATCCTGCGCTGAGCTTCTGGCTGAGGAGCCAACCTTGCTTGGCATGGGGCTGTTCTGAGGAGGTGACGGGAACGTGTTTTCCCGTGGGCCTCGCTGGTGAAGGTCCCTGCGCCGCCTTACGCCTTTTCCTCAGATTTCTCCTTGCTTTAAGTCTCTTCACCAGCGGCTGCGCCTCTGGCGTCTGCGTGTCCTCCTTGCGTCCCCGGCTTTGGGGAAGGTTTGAGAGTTGTCTTCTGCTGCCTAACCTCACCTGTCTCTTCCTCCCAGGAGTGACAGTTCGTTCAACTTCTTTGTCTTCTTCTTCGTCTTCTTCGCCCAGAACGTGATGTACGTGCTGCAGGCGATTGGCATACCAAACTGGGGATTCAGGTGCGCGTTGTGCTGTCCCTGGGGAGCTCGACCAGCCGACTGCCCCAGACAGGGAGGTGGTGGGTGGGGAGGAGGGAACCCGTGGGCAACTGCCTCTTGTTTTGCAGCGGCTGGATATTGAGCCTGATCGCGCTGCGGACGAACACGGCCGTGGCTGTGATGATGATCCTGGTGTCCTTGTTCTTCACAGCAGTGGCTGTGTTGGGCATCATCATGCTGAAAAAGGTGAGTTTGGATCGAAGAGTGCCCCTTCGGGAGGACGAGAGTGGGTTTTGGCAGGCGTTGGGGCACAGCACCAGTCATTGGGAGCCTGGAACGGGACTGGTGCCCTGACCCCGAGCCTGTTACTCTCTTCCAGATCCACTCTCTGTACCGCCGGACGGGCGCCAGCTTCCAGAAAGCGCAGGAGGAGTTTGCCGCGGGGGTCTTCTCCAACCAGGCGGTGCGCACCGCCGCGGCCAATGCTGCCGCTGGTGCTGCCACTAACGCCTTCCGGGCGCCCTAGCCAGGCGGGGGCCCCGGCTTCTCGTTGCACGTGGGCTCGTTTTAAGGAAGAGGAAATCCAAATTGCACTTTCATTGGATCCCCGTGTGTCTGCATCAGCTGTCAGAGGCTGCCTCATCCCAGCTTGGAAGTGCTGGTGCCTGAATCGTCTGCTGCTCTTAACCCCTTTCCTCACGGCTGGAGGCTGTTCTGGTTTGTGCTGGTCCCCTTCCCTCAGCGGACTGGGGAAGGAGCGGGATGGGAGGTGCTGTGGCCAAGCCCTGTGGCTGTCACCGCCTTCCCTTCCAGCACCGGATGTGTGACAGGGACCGAAATGGCTCATCACCTTCCCTGGGCTCTCCCGTATCCCTACCTGGTGGTGGCACTTGTGTGCCCTGGGATGTGAAGGGTTTCCCTTGTACCCAGTCCCAGGGCGTGCAGGGGCCGGCTCTTCCCTGGAGGCTTTCGCTCGCCTTCCCTTTGACGCAGGACTCGGTTCTCTGCCCAAGAACATCGTCCCCATCGTCCCCCAGGGGCTCGCTCCGGTGGGATGGGGCGGGCTCTGTCCCCAGGACCCTGAGCAGGGAGGCAGTCCCCCTCCGGTCCTTTTCCCTGTCCTCTCCCTTTCTGCTGAGCTGAGCCCACTCCAGGCACAGGGATAAGGAAAGCGTGGCCGGGAGAGGCATGAGCTGCTGGTGGGGCTTCAGCCTGTGTGCCCAACGGCAGCCGGTACCTGGGGGGACCCTGGGGGGGGTCCTGGGGTGCTGTGGGGGGCTCCTGGTACCTCCTCACCTCCCTCTGCACCTCCAGCGAGGGGGTGAACAGCTTCTCCCTTTCTGCCCACCCTGGGGCCAGTGACCCCTCGTTCCCCCCAGCGCTCTCACCCTCCTTTCTCGGGGGGCTGAGCCCATCCCTGTGCCCAGCACTGCCCAGTACGTGCCCTCTGTCCCCGCTAGCCCCAGATGTCCCATGTCCCCGGGCCTGGTACCACCATGGCAATGGCTCTCATGAGTTCTGCTTTGCCCCCTCTCCTCTCCCATGCTCCTGGGTTTGTCCCTGCTGCTCCTGGGCTGGCGAGAGGCTTCGTGCCTT